ATGTTTTGCCACATCCACCATATAGTCCTGACCTTGCACCATCTGATTACTTTTTGTTTCGATCTTTACAAAACTCCTTGAATGGTAAAAATTTCAATAATGATGATGTCAAATCGTACCTGATTCAGTTTTTTGCTAATAAAAACCAGAAGTTTTTTGAACGTGGGATTATGATGCTGCCTGAAAGATGGTAAAAGGTCATTGATCAAAATGGGCAATACATTACAGAATAAAGTTATTTAGTTCCATGAAAAAATTGTCTTCGATTTTCTTTAAAAAATCCGCAAGTACTTAGTTGCCGACCCAATATAACACAGACCACTATATGGTGATAGCCAGAGGTAAAAGGGGGAGGAGAGTTTAGGTGGAGGTTGTCAGAGGGAAGAGGGAATGGGGACAGAAGGATGCAGAGTGTAGATGATATTTCATTGAGTTGTACACTTGAAACCGGTATAGTTTTGAGAAACAATCTCACTCCAATACATTCAATTTTTTTTAAAGGAAGGCCTTGTTTATACTGTGGCTTGTAGAGATATTTTCAATCCATTTTTTTTTCCAAACAGGAGTGGACAGTGGATACTGGAGCCCAGGATGGAGCAAGAAGGAGGACAGGAACCTTTGAGAGGGGCAGGGACAGTGAAGACCCAGTGAGCCAGGGCACACACTCCTTGTGTCTCATGGGGGGATGGGGGGGCTGGACCCTAGTGCTAGAATGGTGGTGGGAAATGCCTGGCCTGCCCTTGAACCCAGGCCTTCTTCACCTCCCTGACTGCGGTCTTGGCTGAACCTCAGGGAATATGGATGAGTCCAGAAATCTGAGGGTCTCCCTTCAGTGGCCACATTGGCTGGGCTGGGAGCAGGTGTCAGTGGCCAGAGTTCCAGAGCACAGCCTGCAGCCTGCATGGAAGGTCCAGCCTGTGGTGGGTGGCAAGGCAGAGTTCAGGCTGTGAGGTTGCTGGATACTCCCGACACTGCCTTGGCTGAGAAGGCAGAGGCAGCCCCTTCATGGGTGCAATGTGGATCCTGTTGGTCCTATTGCTGCTGGGCTGGGCGAGCCTAGGTGAGTGGCAGGAACCTGGCTCTGAGGGCCCTAAGGTTGTGCACTGTGCCTGGCTGGCCCCTCACTTTCCTGGAGAAGGTGGCCAATGCTGGAGCATGGGCCCTGCATGCCTGGCGCAAAAGTGGGAGGTCCTGGGGTATGCACCTTTTTCCTCCCTCCCTTCCTCCCTCCCTCCCTCCCTCCCTTCCTTCCTTTTGTCTTTCCTCTCCTTCCTCTTCACCTTCCCTGGTAACAGCCAGCTCATCTTCCCCTGCTCTTGGTTTCCAGACACAGGCACCGGGAAGACTCCAAAGGCACACTTCTCAGGGAAATTAACTAGAGAGAAAGGGCAAGATCAGAGGCTAGTGGGTGTCAGCTGTTAGGGTACACTACTTTGGCACCCCTCTTCCCTCTTAGGCACTTAAATGGACTGGGGATGAAGGGGAGAGAGTCAGTCACAGAGCCTGGCTTCTTGAGATGGAAGAGTGCATTTTGGTGAAGTCTGGATGATGGTAATTTTTTTTCCTGTTTGCCCTCCCACAGGAACATAGGCGGTAAGGGAGACATACCTGATACAGTTAAGTTTTATTTCCAACACATCATTTAATCAAAAGAATTTTTGCACTGCCCCCCCCTTTTGTTTATTAAACCCTAGAATTAGACTTCCTGAAAACTCTCTCAACCGCCCGACCCCACCAACCACTTTAATAGAGTCCAAAGAGCACATTCAAGTCCCCCACTGTGTTTGGGGAACAGTTTAATTGCAATGGATTTCACTTCAGATATGAAGAAAATTTGCAGCTAAGTGGAATTTGGTGATTTTCTATGCTAAAGGCGTTTTGGCCCTAAGCTTTTGGAAACTATTAATTTTTAAAAACATGTGCTTCATAAAAACTGAGGAAAGCATGTGATTGTGTGTGTGTGTGTGTGTGTGTGTGTGTGTGTGTGTGTGTCTATAGACTATGTCTGTCACATTTCACATGCAAAGACCCTTTTGTTAACTTTTTCTAGAATGAAAATTGAGTTTGAGTAACAGTAACAAGCAATTGTTATATTTGATTCTATAATTTGAACTTAATTACATTTAAACTGATTACTAGCCTCACTGTGACGTTCATAAAGTCTGTAACTTAGGCTGTTTTCAAAATGCTCTTAAGACTGTGCTTACCACTTTCCCCATTCTCTGAAAATCCTGGGTTGTTGGAGCTGTTTATAATCACTATGTCTATTATATGAAGAGTTGATAGTAGATAAAGAAGTGTTCCCTATCATTATCATTATTGGCTCATTGCTGTTACTATCAAAATAACTAAAATAATACTGCTTTCAGAAACACATTTTATAATCAGAATGCATATTAAACTGCATTATAAATTGTGATGTAATCTCACTAAATCAGACTGTAGGCATCAACATCTATTCTGTAGAATAAAAATGATGGGAGATCCAAGATGGTGGCCGACCAGATAGGAATCAGAAAGATAGTGTGAGTGAGAGCCCCAAAGGAGAGTGGGTGGACGTCGGAGAGTGTGTGTATTTGTGAGTGAGGGACAGTTATATTCCATAGAACTGCCAGAGATTGGAGGGCCAGGCTCCCCTGGCCAGAAGCCTCTGCGACTGCTGAAATCTCTCCTGGAGCAGCCTGCTCTGCTGCAGAGACTGAGCCATCTTCAATAGGAAAGTGGCTCTGATGGGAAGCCCAGTCTTGTCTGCACCTGGGGAGACCTCAGATACCTACCTGGACCCTACAGCTACAATGCCCAGGGATGAGCTGCCTCAGCTGAAAACCCAAGAACACCAAGACTCCATACTCCCCAGGCACCAGCACCTAAAACACTTTGTCCATGGGTAGACAAGGTGGTGGCCAAAAATGTGAATTGGTCTTGTGCCTTCTCACAGAGCAGATAAAAGAAACAGCTGAATCAAACAACACCCACCTGGAACTGGTGAGGCAATCCATGAATGAAAATGTCAGATATCTCTTGGAGAGAGGTAGGAACTGAGAACCAGGCTAGTGGGAGAAATGCATGCAGCCAGGACTAGAGTGTCAGAGGGAGACTGTACTCCACACAACCCTTGGGCCAATGTCGCCTCGAATGTAGAAGAGGGCCCACAGGGCTGTTGGCAGTGGGGGACCCACAGCCCTGGGAGACTGTGCCTAGAAAGGCAGCCTGAAGTTCTATAACAGCTGCACAGTGTCCGGAGAGAAAGACCCAAGGCAGAGTGGTTTCTTTGTCTTTATAACTTCCTTGTTTTTGCATGCTAAACCAGTGAATAGGATCTTTTAATTAAAAATACTCACTGAGACTGCAAGGGAAGATGGTTTCTGTGGAAACTGAGGAGTAGAATATGGAGAGATGAACTGGAAACCAGCTCTGGGACACTCCATTTCTCTAATCAGCAGGTAAAGGAAGAGTCTAAACACCCCCAGGGAGGCCTCTGGGACTGGGTTGAGGGGCCATTTGGTCTGAGAAACTAATACAGAAACACTGCCACCCAGGGGCTGTGTTAGATATAAACACTTGTGTAAATACAACTGAGAGCAGGCAGAGAAACAGAGTGAGCAGAGTGATCCCATCTGCTTGAAACCAAGATTATGATTTATGACACAGAGGAGTGGTAGCTCACAGGGAACTTCAACACTGTGCTGACTACCAGACAGGAAACAGACGTGCCAGTCCTAAGAGCAGAGAGGGTCTTATATCAGCTATGGGTCATTGAAACTCGGCTGAAGCAAACAAACTTCAATACTTAATTTTTTTATGTTTTGTCTTTTACTTAAGAAACTAAATTTTTTCCCTCACTTTATTTTACTTTATTTTTAAATTATTACTATTACTTTACTATTTTTAAAGTTTTATTATATATTATTTATTTATTTACTTGGATTAGTGTTTTACATTCTATTTTATATTTTTATTTTTTATCATTATTTCATTCTATCTCAATTTTTCCTTTATGCCAACACTTTCTTCCTCACTTTCCTTCCTTTTCATCCTGTTTCTGCTTTAGTGTTTCTCTATAATTTCCTTATACTCCCTGTTAAAATTTGATCTTGCTCATATATCTGATTTCCTCTCCCCTGCTCAAAGTATATGAACACTTCTCTTTTCTCTTTCTTCACTAGTCAAATATTTAATTCTTTCTTTCTTTCTTTCTTTCTTTCTTTCTTTCTTTCTTTCTTTCTTTCTCTTTCTTGCTGTTTGTTTGATTGTTTATTTTTTAATGTTTCTTTTTCCTCTCCTTGGTTCTGTTATTCTACTTATAGCTTAATTAGTTTCAATCATCAACTCAGCCCATTCAGTTTTCTATTCTCCTTCCCCTAAAATGGATAAATACATAGATAAAGAATATATACATATATATAAATTCTTTTCTTTTCTTTTTAAATACTTGTCCTTTACTTTTCTTCTTATATGCTCATTCTATTTCTACCTCCTCTATACTGAATTGTGGCCATTTACCCATTCATTCAATTCCTTGACCTTACCTTTTGAAAATAAGCTCTGCCTATTCAGATTCAGCTTTCCTTCTTCTTTCCTGAGTATTTGTTTTTTCATTAATTGTTTTTTTTTTGAGTTTTCTCACCATATAGATATATTTTTCCACTTCTTTCTTCTTTTCCCTATCTTACCTTTTTTCCCTTTTCTCAATATGATTTTAGCATTCTTTTATCTCCCATAATTCTCTTTTCTCTGGAGGTCACCTTTATTTGGGGTTATTGGTATCATGAATACATTCGTGTTTTGCATTCTCTGTGTTGTGTCTTGTCGAGTTGTATTTTGTACCTTTAAGTCAATGTGGTAGAGTGTGAGCCATATCACCAAACATCCTGTGAGGAATGAAAATGGAGAGAAAAGAAAAAGCCCCATATGAAAGAAAAGCAGGAATCAGTGGAAAATCAAATAAATAAAATGGAACCAAGCAGTATGTAAGAGAAATAATTCAGAGCAATGGTCATATGTATGTGGAAAAGGATGGAAGACAAATCAATAGCATGTGTAAGACCCAAGAGGAAATGAAGAAGAACCAAGAAGAAAGAATTATAGCTACAACAAAGAACACAATAGAAATCATCACAGGTAAAGTAGAAGAAGTTGAGGACTGCGTCAGTAATCTAGAAGAAAAGGTAAGAAAAAATACCCAAGGAGAGCAGCAACTGAAAACAAACAAACAAACAAACAAAAAACAACACAAAACAAACAAACAAAAAAAAAAACACACACCAAAAAAGCACCCTTAAAAAACAAGAAGAGAGCCTAAGGGAGCTTTCAGACAACACAAAACTAAACAACATCCACATAATAAGGGTGTCAGAAGAGGAAACTTACCAAGGAATAGAAAACCTGTTTGAAGAAATAGTTACAGAAATCTTCCATGATATTGGGAAGAAAAACTCACACAACTCCAAGATGTTCACAGAGTCCTAAACAAGATTAACCCAGAAAGACTGACACTGGGACACATTATATTTAAATTGGCAAATACCAATGACAAAGGAAGAATCTTAAAGGCTGCCAGAGAGAGGCAGAAAGTTAATTATAAGTGATCTCCCATCAGACTATCAACTGATTTCTCAACAGAAACACATTAATCCAGAAAGGAATGGAATGAAATATATAAAGCCATGCAAAGCAAGGATCTGAATACAAAAATACTATATCTATAATTCAAAATTGAATAAATCAGGAGCTTCACAGACAAAAAAACAAACAAACAAAAAAAACACACACACACACAAAAACTAAGGAGTTTATTACCACCAAACCAGCAATGCAAGAAATGCTAAAGGGACTGCTGTTAAAAAAAATGAAATAGGAAGGGAAGAAACTCAGGCATAAAGAATAAAAATGATGATAAACAAGTACATATCAATAATAACTTTAAATGTAAATGGATTAAATGTACTAATCAAAAGACATAAGGTAACTGAATGAATAAGAAAACATGACCCATATATCTGCTATCTACAGGAGACCCATCTCAGTACCAAGGACTCACACAAACTGATAGTAAAGAGATGGAAAATTTTTTTCAGGCCAATGGAAATGAAAAAAACAAAACAAAACAAAACAAAACTTTTGATGAATATAAAAGAAGAGATTGACAGCAATACAGACATAGTAGGGGGATTTAGTACCCTACTAACACCACTGGACAAATCCTCTAAACAAAAAATCAAAGAAACATCAATCCTAAACGACTCACTAGAACAGATGGAATTAATTGACATCTTCAAAACATTCCACCCCAAAGCCATAGAATATACATTCTTTTCAAGTGCAATGGATCATTTGAAATGATAGGCCACATATCATGACACAGGCAAAGTCTCTTCAAATTCAAGAAGATAGAAATCACATCAAGTATCTTCCCAGACCCCAATGTCATAAAGTTAGAAATCAACTAAAAAAAAAAAAAAAAGAAAAGAAGAGAAAAAAACAACAACATTTGGAAGCTAAATAGCATGCTATTAAACAATGATTGGGTTTATAAAGAGATCAAATAAGAAATAAAAAGCATCCTGGTAACAAATGACAGTGAAAACACAAGAACCTAAAAATCTATGAAGCACAGTGAAAACAGTCTTGAGAGGGAAGTTCATAGCTCTACAAGTCTATCTCAAAAGCACAATTTAAAAAAAGTCAATAAATTATTTAACCCTAGAACTCAAAGAGTTAGAGAACAATAAGAAAAGTCCAGTGTAAGGAGGAGGAAGGCAATAATAAAGATCAGAGATAAATGACATAAAGACCAAAAAAAATATACAAAGTATTAACAAAACCAAGAGCTGGTTCTTTAAAAACATATATAAGATTGATAAAACTTTACCCAAGTTCAGCAAGAAGCCAGAAAGAGGACCCAAATAAACAAAATTGGAAATTAAAGAGGGGAAGTAACAACCAATCCCACAGAAATAGAAAAGATTATGAAAAAATACTTGAAAAAACTTTATTCAAACAAACTGGACAACCTTGATTAAATGGATATATTCTTAGAAAAATACAAAATCCCAAAATTCAATCAGGAAGAATGAAAAACAAACAAACAAACAAAAAAAAACCCTGAATAAGCCATTAACAACCTAAGAAATTGAAGTAGTCAAAAATCTTCCAGCAAACAAAAGCCCTGGTACAGAAGGCTTTATAGGAGAGTTCTACTAAGCATTCAAAGAAGAACTAAAACCTATCCTCCTCAGACTAGTCCAAAAAATTCAAGAGGAAGGCACACTTCCAAGCTCTTTTCATGAAGCCAGCATTATGTTAATTCCAAAACCAGATAAACACACCACAAAAAAGAGAAGTACAGGCCAATATTCTTGATGAACATAGATGCTAAAATCCTCAACAAAATTCTAGCAAATCATATTCATCATTATATTAGAAAGACCATGACCAAGTGGGATTTTTTTCTGGGGATGCAAGGATGGTACAATATATGCAAATAAATAAATGTGATTCTTCACATAAACAAATTGAGATACGATAATCACATAATCATATCAATCAATGCAGAAAAAGCATTTGACAAACCCAATACATGTTCTTAACAAAAACACTCAGCAAAAGATCAAATAGAGCTGTGGCTCACGAGTCACATGTGGCTCTTTGGCCCTTGAGTGTGGCTCTTCTACAAAATACCAAGGCCTGGGCGAGTCTATTTTGAAGAAGTGGCATTAGAAGTTTACATTTAAAAAAATTTGGCTCTCAAAAGAAATTTCAATATTTGTACTGTTGATATTTGGCTCTGTTGATTAATGTGTTTGTCAACCACTGAAATAGAGGAATCAGACCTTAACATAATAAAAGTCCTATATGACAAACCTACAGTCGCCATCATACTCAATGGGCAAAAACAAAATCCATTTCTCCTAAGAACAGTAAGTAGACAGGGATTCCCACTTTTACCACTCCTGTTCAAAACATTTTGGAAGTGCTTGCCATAGCAATAAGACAAGAAGAAGAAATAAAAGGCATCAAATCAGAAAAGAAGTAAAACTGTCTTACTTGCAGATGACATGATACTATACATAGAAAATCCAAAACAATCAATTAAAAAGCCACTAGACTTAACAAATGAATTCACCAATATAGAAAGATATAAAATTAACACCCAAAAATCTATGGCACTTTTATACATCAACAATCAACTCACAGAAAAATAAACTAAAAAACACACCAAAAAACAAAAAACAAAACAAACAAACAAACAAAAAACACCCCATTTACCCTTGCACACACAAAAAAATTAAGATACCTAAGAATAAACTTAACTAAGGAGGTAAAAGATCTGTACCTAGAAAACTACAGGGCATTTAAAAAAGAGGTAAAGGAAGATATATATATAAAAAAAGGAAGAATATCCTTTGTTCATGGACTTGTAGAATCATCATCATTAAAATGTTCATACTACCCAAAGCAAACTACAGATTCAATGCAATCTCCATGAATATACCAATGGAATATTTCACAGACCTAGAATATACACTCCAAAAATTCATCTGGAATAAAAAAAGACTGAACAGTCACAGCACTCCTGAGAAAGGAGAACAAAGTTGGAGGGATCACAATACTAAATATCAAGCTATATTTCCAAGCCAAGGTTCTCAAAATTGCCTGGTATTAGCAGGAGGAAAAGGAAACATATGTAAACTTTTATACAGAAAAAAAAGAATAAAAATGAGAAATATATTTTTAAAAAAGGTCCTGTTTTTAAGTAAATTATAAAAAATTTCTAGAATGCTACTTTTGGGGAGAATTTCTGTTAATAGTATTTAAGATTGTATATAATAAACATGCATTTACATATAATATTAATGTGCCCAAGTACCTTTAGAGTCATAAAATTCAGAATTTATGGTGTTTTAGTGTATTAAGTTAATAACATAAAAAAACAAACAAACAAAAAAAGAGCATAAGCCGGTTTGGCTCAGTGGTAGAGTTGGTCTGTGGACTGAAGGGTCCCAGGTTCGATTCCTGGCAAGGGCATGTGCATTGGTTGTGGGCACATCCCTGGTGGGGGGTGTGCAGGAGGCAGCTGGTCAATGTTTCTCTCTCTATCTCTCTCCCTTCCTCTCTGTAAAAAATCAATAAAATATATATAAAAAAAACCAAAAACAGAATAGAGGCATTATGCACTTGAGATGAGTTATTACTAATATATAAGAAGCAGGGGCTGTCACAACCAAAACAACCAGATGGATGACCAAAAAGTAGCCTGCGAGTGGTGACCAGATCAGCAGGGGGGTTAGTGAAGTGAAGGAAACCAAAGGACTAAACAGTAGGCTGTGTGGGTCAAGCAGGCTGGCAGTGGAGTTAGTGAGGGACAAAAAAAAAAATGACTGAACAGCAGGCTTCATGGGGTGATCAGGTCGATAGGGGGGCAATTGGGGTGACCAAACCAGTGTGTGTGTGGGGGGATTTAGGGGTAACAAGGCCAGCAGAAGGGGGAAGTTGGAGGTGACCAGGTTGGTGGGGGGCAGTTAGGAGAGATCAGGCAGGCAGGCAGGTGAGCAACATAGTGAGAACAACCAATGGCAGGGCTGCTGTAGCTCACTGGGAAGTCATAGAAAAAGCGGGCCTTGGAGACAGGTTGTGGGGTGAGCCCAGGATGATCTATAGCTGCCCATTTCTCCATGAATATAAGTATCATGGGGACCTTTAGAGGTTAGGGGATATGTGCCTGTAAGAAAAACAAGGGAAGAGAATGGCAGGGGATTGCTCCCTGGAGGTAGAATACATGCTATAGAGAGCATGGCCCACAACTCCTGGGTTCTAAAGAGGGATTGTATGTGTGGAGCCTTTCACTTGTGTGGAGGCATTATTGACTGAAACTATATATAATAATAATATATTATTGACTGAAACTATATATAATAATGTGGAGGCATTATTGACTGAAACTATCTTTCTTCTGGGCATGCTCTTACCCATAATGTATATAGAAAATCTACAGGGGGTGGGGTCAAAATTAAATTCAAATACTTTTATAACTAGAGGCCCATTGCATGAAATTCATGCACATGTGGGGGCATGCCTGTTTCCCTCAGCTCAGCCTGCCCCCTCTCCAATCTTGGACATTCCTCACACAATCCAGGACTGCTGGCTTCCAACTGCTTGCCTGCCTCCC